TATCATTGCAGGGGCGGTAAGCGAGAGCGACCAGAAGTGGAAAATCAAGTGGATGGGGTCAGGTGGTTGGAGGAGCAGCGGACAGACATTCACTTGGCGCAGGATTTTCGAGTGGCCCCACCTCGACATGAAGCCAACTGGAGACGGCAAGCACGATCTTGGTTGCGTGGATGCTGGAGGTGATGGCCATCACGGTTCCACGGGTGTTCAGAGTTCTTATGCAGCATTGCCCATACAAGATTTTGTTGTTGTGGTGTTTTTGTTAGCTTCCGAGGGCACTATGGGAATGGAGTATTACACGAGTGTTTGCCGATATGCTTGGCTTGCACGGGTGGGTCGTATCTTGGCTTCCCCGATTTAAAGAAAAGTAAGAAAACACTATGTTGTTTGCGTCACACGATCGGAACCAGCAGGTGCAGATGTCGAGTAGGCACGTTCCGCTCCGACCTTACAGCCAATGGCACGATCATCCAGATGAACAGCCGAGACGTATCGATATTGTGATCGAGAGAGACCATTTCTGTATCCACCCCGAGGAGAACACGCGTTACGTTACCCCCCCTGCCCCCCCCCCGTAACTGTAACGCCCCGGCCCGGTCCAGTGCGCGATCCCGGGCAGCCTAGGGCTTGTGGTGCACGCGGGCATTGCTAGTACTGCGGTGCACGCATGCACGCGGGCGTGCGTTGTGGTGTACGACGCAGGCGCTGCTGTGTACAGGCGCATTGTGGCGCACACGTCTATCTGTCGCTGAAGTTGCAGCTGTGGTGTACGCAGGCATAGTGGGTGTATGCAAGCATTGTAGTGTACACATCACAAACACTGTGGTGTACACATGCGCCGTGATGTACATAACCGCTGTAGTGCGCACAGTCGTTATGATGTAAGCGTGCGCGGTGGGCTATGATGTACCCACCCATATCTTCGAACTTTTCCCTCCTCCTCCCTCTTCATTTTCGGTCTCCTCGTCGTCGTCCTTGCGCATACAGGACGCGAGCACTGTGGTGTACACAAGCATTGTGGTGCAGACAAGCCTTGTGGTGCACACAGTCGTTGTGTTTTACATTCGCTGTGGGCTCAAAATGTCCAAGCGTTCCTCGGGCGAGAAAAAAACGAGAATCACAATCATATTAGACATTGAATCTGATACACTCGGGCCACCAACTATTCCACGGACTTTGGCTCCGTCGGGGCCGTAGAGGTGTACACAAGCTTTGTGGTAAACGCAAGCACTGTGGTGCACACGAAAGGGTACTGAAACAGCAGTTGTGGTGTCAATAATGACAGGCGTTGTGGTGCAGCCGGCTGACAGCAGTGTACACTGGCATTGTGGTGTATGTAGGCGCTCTCATGTAGACAACTACTGTTGCCATCGTGGCTCCAAGAGAGGGGGCTGGCGGGAATTGCCTCTTGCTTTTCCTGGTGCGCCTCCTGGTGCGCCTCCTTCTGCTCCTCTTGCGCCTCCTCAGCTGATGCTCGTGCTGCTGTCGCTCCTGCTCCTTCTGCTGTTCGCTGTTCCTGCTGCTGTTGCTTTGAGTCCCTCCGAGAGCCCCAGGAAGGGTTCAAAACGGCCCCGCGAGGGCTCCAAGAGGGCCCACGAAAGAGGCACACTCGTGCATATACTTGGTGAGCTTCATCTGCATTACAGTTGCTAGCGCTTCATCCGAATCCCAGCAGTCTGGGGATTGTTCGGCGGCTCGCATGTTCGAGCGCGGGAAAGCAGGATGATGATGTCGATGAAGACGAGGAAGTGGAGGAGGAGGAGGAGGACGAGGAGGAGGAGGAGGAGGAAGAAAAGGAATAATAAGATAGGTGTACGCAGGCTGTGCGTGGTGCATCACGCAGACCCGTTGGCGGTCTCTTGCGCGGATTTTTGCAACGAGCTTCTTTTGATGGCGTGCATATTGGCAGTGCTCTCGGGAAAAGAGCGCGGACCCCGAGCTGCCGACCCCATTGCGGGGTTCATTTTACTCCTCCTGCTCCTCCTGCTGGTGCTGCTGTTCCTCCTGCTTCTCCTTCGTGTATTCCCTCGGCTGACGCCGCTCCGCGCGCCCCCAAGCCGCGTGGTGTTCACAGGCGCCGTGGTGCGCGCAGTCGCCATGACCTGCACTGTCGCTATAGCGTACACAGGCGTTGTGGGCCCAACATCTCCGAGCGTTCTTCGGGCCACAAAAAAATATATGCACAATTAAGTCAGATATTGAACTTGATATTTTCGGACCCCAGGCACTGTGGTGCACAGGTGGTGCTTCAATAACAGCTACGGTGCACGCCGGCGCCGTGGTGTGCACAGACACTGTGATGCACAAGCGCGTTGTGGTGCACGCGGCTGGTTGTTATGGTTTATACAGCCGCCGTGGTGCGCACACCGACCATTTCTGCAGCAGTCCTGGTGCACAAAGACACTGTGGTGTACAAAGCCCGGGTTGGCCGTGTTGTGCGCACAGACATAGTGGATTTGGACGGCGACGACGACGACGACGACGACGACGACGACGACGACGACGACGACGACGACGACGACGTAGGCGGCGAGGTTAGGGGGGTGCGCGCCGCGGCCCCTGTTACCGTTACCCCCCCCCGCACCCCCCCCCGCACCCCCCCCCCCGAGGAAAAAGAAAATGGTCTCAAAGCGAGCATCGTCTCGGATGTTGTCCCTTTGCAGCCCAGTGTTAGGCTGGATCTGCCCCATGTTCAATCATCGCTGTCGTTGGGATTGCATGGGACCAGCATTGTGTCATCCGTGCGAGCGCAACCACAGACTGAAAAGGGGCACGCCTCCGCCTGCCCGGCAGAGCGGTGGATGCCAGATGCCATGCGCAGTGGATCGCTCTTGCCTCGTCCAAGCCAGAGCCGCGATGCCGTTCCCAACGAGTGCCTGCGCAGGGCCCGCTACGACATAGCTTGGCAACTGCATTCGGACAAGGAGCGCGCAAACACACGAAAATGCATGTGGCGGCCAAGCGAATGATATTGTCAACGAACCTGGTGGAAGAAACGGCAACGCAGCATGTACCAGGAATTTATCACTGCCTGCACACACGCATCTACCACACCGAGAAAACATACGAGGCGCCATCCTCTGGAGTGGCAGGTGACCCAATATAGAAATGACGTGTTTGCTATGGTCATGTGGTGTTCCTTGGGAGGGCTACGATCGGCCCGCTTTCGCAGCTCCGCCCACACACGCAGAGCGACTAAGAGGCGGGAGGATTACGTCCATGTGGAGGTTCTCATCAGGGTAGCGACGAAGCACGCATCACCAGCCCACGTTTGCGTTGTTCGCCGTCGAACTTCCCGCGCGCGTGCACGGATAACGATTTATCGAGCACATGTTTTGCATGGTTCCTTGTCGTTTGGGAGGTGCTGCCCCCCCAGTCCACGTTCCGGGTTTCCCCACGCATATGTTTTGGGATGGAGTTGGTCAGTTTTGTGTTCGAGCGTGGACACGCGGCGCGGGCTCGTCATCGGAAGGTCGGCAAGCCAATAATTCATCACTTGGGTGTCGCAGGAATGCAGTCCAGTGGCCCGCAGGAGTGCCACTGCCCTATGCCGGCGGCGTTGTCAAAGGGGCGGCCGTCGTTGAAAGCATTCCAACAGCATTTCTGCTTACACTAAAGGCTTCTAAGAAGGCCGATCCTTCTAAGAAGTTGTCTGCTTTGGAGAAGGTCGCTCCTCACCCTGCCCTCCTTTACGCCACGCTTGATAGAAGCCCACGTGCGGGTGTAGGTTCGCTTGGTCTAGCCCGGCGCACTGCCGCTGCCGATGCTGGATTGGCCTTGCATGTTCACGTGTGTCCCCCCTTCAGGCGAACTGGACGTCACTCACACTTGCGATTGGTGCTGTGCGTTCTCCGTCGACCTGTTCGTCTCTTCGATGGAGAAGGTAATCGAGAAGTACGGGGATATCCACACGTTCGTATATTGGAAAAATTCAGGAGACGCGCGCTGAAGTAATGGGGGCGTTTGAGAGCTGGAGGGGTTTGCTTGAGAGGCACTCTGTTTGGAAGGGGTTTCAGCGCTAGCGTGATTCACATTGACGCGTTTGGCGCGTGTCGTCCAGCTTCCGCCTTTGCGAGACTCGCGGTAAATTGCAGGCTTCTCCGAAGCCCTCTGAGAACAAATCGGGCGGGGTGATGAGGGATGTTCTCTCGCAGCGTCTCCTGAAGTGCCACGCCGCTGCGGCAGGGAATGGCGGGGGCGTTGTGAGGAGCCGTTCCCCTTCACGATGAAACCATGTGAGTACTCTTCTCCATCCTCCGTTGAAGTTGTCCGGGAGATCTCCTGCCCCTTTCGCGTGTTGTTTTCACGCACGCAGGATTTGGAACATGTATGTTTCTTCTGGTCTGCTTTGCAATCCGATTGTGCTCGGTGTTTCAGAATGGTGTTCCTGCTGCAGGGTGGGCCCTCAAAATGGTGTTCGGTTTTTGGTGTTTCGGTTTCGGCGTTCGGTTTTCGGTGCTTCAAGCTGGTTTTCGGATCGGCGTTTTGCTCCCGTCGTTCAGAAGGGTGCTCTCGCCCCATCGCGGGCACTTCTCTGGATCCGAGCCTTGCTTCGTTGCGGCCACCTCTCATTTCCCCTCCTCTGCCTTCCCTGGGTCATCATTTTCTTCCCTCTCCTTCCACTGTAGTTTCTGCTGCTGTTGCTGTTCGTCTCGCCCCAGCGCGGGCCGCTTTTATGAATCCGAGTCTTTCTTCATCGGCGTCGCCCCCCTCATTTCTCCTCCTGTGCCTTCCCCTGGTCCTCATCTTCCTCCCTACCCTTCCGCTGTAGCTCCTGTTGCTGATGTTTCTCCTCATCCTGTTCCTCCGCTCCTCCTCCTGCTGCTCCTCCTCCTGTGCACGCAACTCATGTTTCCGATTGCACATGACACGAAATTGTCTTTCTGTGGGCGTCGCAGGTCGGCTATGACACGCGCCCGCGGGTAATGACAATCAGCGCCGTGGCAGGGGACGGGCGGGAGGGATGGGATGTCGGATGAGGCGCGAGCGCACCGAGCCTGCCTCCCACCCCTCCCCCACTCCCCCTCTCCCGCTCCCCAGCCGACCCCCGCCTCACCCCTCTCCCTGGCTTTTCCCTCTCTTCTGCGCTCCTCCCCTCCCCGCCCCCCTCCCCCCGGGCGCCTCCTCAGCGCCTCTTCGGGGCCTCTGGCGGCGGGCCTCTGGCGGTGGGCCTCTGGCGGCGGGCCCCGGGCGGCACCTTGCGGTCTCTGGGGGGGCAGGTTGGCACGCGAGGGCTCGGGGGCAAGTGAGGGGGCTCCTCCTCCTCCTCCTCCTCCTCCTCCTCCCTCCTCCTCCTCCTTCTCCTCCTCCTCCTACTCCTCCTCCTCCTCCTCTCCTCCTCCCCCTCCCCCTCCCCCTCCTCCTCCTCCTCCTCCTCCTCCTCCTTCCTCCCTCCTCCTCCTCTCCTCCTCTCCTCTCCTCCTCCTCCTCCTCCTCCTCCTCCTCCTCCTCCTCCTCCTCCACCTCCTCCTCCTCCCTCCAGGGCCGAAATCGTTGAGACTGGCGCAGGTTGCCCCGAGAGCGCCTGGAAGCGCCCGGAAGTGCCAGATCTTCGGGGGTTCGGCCGTTTCGGGATCAGTGCAGACGTTCAATAGTGAGAGTTCGAAGGGATCTGAGGACAGTCTCTTCGGTGCCTTACGGCCCGGTGCCGGATATAACAGATAGTATACAGTAGTGGGGAGAGCGCATGGGTCAGATCGCCGATTGCTGAGTATAGAGGCAGAGAACATCGACCAGATAGCAGAGGGCGGAGAGGCGAGAATAGAGAGTAGACGGTACAGACGACCGAGCGGAGAGTAGGGGGTGGAGGGTAGATACCATACGTATAGTGGGTAGAGTAGGTGAGAGTAGAGAATCGAGCGTAGAGGATAGGTCGTAGAAATAGCGTTGGCAACAGAGAGAAGAGAATAACAATACCCCCATTCGTCACCCTTCGCTGTCGCCCATGGCCAGCGTGCTGCCCTGATATTTCACTTGCGAACATCCAGTTGGCGTTACCCTGGTGTAGCTCGTAATCTCTCGGCATGGATCTCCAGGAAGTCTCGGGCGGGTCCCATTCGGGAATGGAGTTGCCCTCAGTCCTTGCAGCGATGGAACATTGTGCACGAATATGCATAGCGCTGAACCGTCGGGCGTCGCAGACATGCGAGGCATCCGGAGGGAAACGCCTGCTGCGAGCTTGATCCTGGGGATGGATGGATGGCGGCCACGGGGGGCGGTGAGAAGGCGCTGCGGGGACAGCAGCCTGGCTACCGCAGGAGAGCCCTCCTCGGCGTGACCTCGTCCTGCCGCCGCGCCTATAGTCCCCTTCGGAAGCAGCTCGGGCGAGAGGGATGCATCCGACTCCACCAGACGTCTCCTGGTGCCTGAGGCTCTGAGGCCTGTGGAGGCAGGTGTCGGTGGTTGAAAGATTGCGTCCTGACGGATGGGGTCCTGGGACGAGGTGCTTCAAACGGTGCGAATGCACCCTTGGACCCCTTCCTATCCTTAGGCCCCCACCCCTGAGGACCCCATTCTTGGTTAGAAAATGCGGGTCGCTCAAAGTCGCTTTCGCGGGTTGGGAATATTTCGCCTATTTCTCCGCGCTGGCCGCGCGCTCCGCCAAGTTCGCCGATTCCTCTGCGCCCGCGCGCCCAGAAATCTGAGCGCTAACGGGAATTTGCAAAGTTTACGGAATTTAGAGACGCACATAAATTTGCGTGCGCCCTTTGCAAACTCCGCGGTCGTTCGATCTCCGCGAAGCCGCCTTTCTTCACATTGCGCGGCTTACGAAATTTGAAGAGTTCACCACGCGCATGAATTTACGTGCCCCCCTTGCGAACTCCGTGGCCCCTCGGTCCTCTGCCAGGATGCCTTTCCCCAGCTAGCAGTTTACGACATTTGCGAAACTTACGTGCGATATTTGCGAAATGTACGGACGCGCGTGAATTTCCGTGCGCCTTCTGCGACTTCCGCGGCCGCTCGTTCCTCCGCCAGGACGCCTTCCCCTAGCTAGCATTTTACGGCATCTCCGGAATTCACGTACGCGCGTAAATTTAGGCGCGCACTCCGCGAACTCCGCGGCCAGACGCCTTTGCTCAGCTCGCACCTTCCGATATGTACCGCGTTCACGCACGCGCGTGAAATTACGTTCGCTTTCTGCGAACTCCGCGGCCGCTCGTTCCTATTGCAGGACGACTTTTCCGCACCTTGCAGCTCGTGATATTTACGGAATTCACGCACGCGCGTCAGTTCACGCGTTTTTTCGCGCGAGTTCCGCGGCCCTTGTTCCTCCGCGAGGATGCTGCTCCCCAGCTTTCAGTGTACCCGACGGACGGAATTTAGGCACGTGCGTAAAATTACGCGCGGCTTCTGCGAATTCCGCGACGGCTCGCTCCTTCGCGGAGGCGACTCTCTTTTCATATCGCAGCTTACGACATGTGCAGAGTTAACCTGCGTGCATATCTTTGCGCGCGCGCTCCGCGAACTCCGCGGCCTGTTGCTCCTCCACGGGGGCGCCTTTCTAGTTCACGAACTCTACTGGACGTATGGACGCGCGAAATTCTGAGTGCGCCCTCTGCGAACTCCGCGGCCGCGTGGTTTCTCCACGAGGACGCCGTTCCTCGGCTCGCAGTGTGTGAAGCAAGCCTGCGGCATTCACGCACGCGCGTGGGTGCACGCGTGCCCTCTGCGACCTCCGCGGCTGCTCCCTCCTCCGCGCGGACGCCTTTCCGCAGCTCGCAGCCTTTGACATTCATTCGATATTTACGCGCGCACCTAAAATTTCGTGCGCCCTCTGCAAACTCTACGGCCTCGCGCCTCTCTGCAAAGACGCCTTATCTCGGCTCGTAGTTTGCAACATGTACGTGCCCTGCGTACGCGCGTAGATTCACGCGTGCGCGCTGCGACCTCCGCGGCTCCTCGCTCTTGTGTGAGGGCGCCTTCCCTCAGCTTGCAGCTTGTGGGGCTTACGTACCTGACGTATGCGCGCACAGTTACGCGCGCGATGTGTGACCTCCGTGGTCTCTCGCTTCTCCGAGAGCGTGCCTCCCCTTGGCCCACAGCCTACGACGTTTACGTCATGCGTGCACGTGCGTGCGTATACGCGCGCCCCCTGCGATCTCCGCGGCCGCCCGCTCTTTCGCGTGGACACCTTCGGCGCTGCCTGCAACTTCCCGCATTCATGGGCAGTTCGTCCGCGCGTGCATGTACCTCCGCCCTGTGCAACCTCTATGGCCTCTCGCTCCTCCGAGGAGTCTCCTTTTACTTTGCTCCCGCTTCAGAACATTGCCGGAGTGTACATGCGCGCGTAAATTTACGCGTGCCCTCTGCGAACTTCGCGGCCTCTCGCTCTTGGGCGAGGACGCGCCTTCTATTATGTTTGAGCTTATGACATGTTTTGAAGTTAACGTACGCGTGTAAGTGTGCGTCCGCCCTCTGCGAATTCTACGGCCGCTCGCGCCTCGGCGACGACGCCTTGGCTCCGCTCGCCATTTGCGAAATTTGTGGAAGGTGCGTTGGCGCGTGAATTTGTTCGCCGCGGCGAATCTTTACGTTGCTTTCGGATGTAATTCCTGGGAGGTCAAGTTCTGATCTTGCCCTGGTCCGAATTCCCGGCTTCATCCGGCGAAGTCCCGTTCGATCCGGCTAAATCCCGCTGAATCCGGCTTACTTCAGCTCAATGCGCGGCCGAATCCGTTGCAACAGCCCCCTAGTGGGGCTTCATTCTCTGCGTTCCCTCCGACGAAGACCTCCCCGCAGTTGCCCCCTGACACTGCGCACAGCTGCGATTTTTTTACAGCAGCTCCGTCCGCGTGCACGTTTTTACGTTCGCACTATGCCGTATTCGCGGCCGCCCGCTCCTCTGCGACGACGCCTTATTCTGCTGCTCGCAATTTTGCGACAAGCAACGACCTTACGTACGCGCATTAAGTTGCGTGCGCCCTCTGCGATCTTCACGGCCGCTCACACTCCTCCGCGCCGACGCCCGTTGCCTCTTTTTGCCGTTCACGGAACTTGCGGAGTTTTCGTCCGAGGCACATTTGCGCGCGCCCTTTTCGAGACCTCCACGGCCCGTCGCTCCTCTGCGACGACGCCGGTTATTTTGCTCACATGTCGGGAAACATAAGGATTTCAAGGACGCGCGTAATGTTGAGCGTGCCCTCTGCGAACTCCACGGCCGCTCGCTTCTCTGCGGCGACGCCTTTTGTTATGTTAGCTTTGTGGAGAGTTACTGACATGACGTACGCGCGTAAGCGTGCACGTTCTCGGAGAACTCCGCGAACATTAGTTTGATATACAAGGGCGCGTCTCTTTTCTCGATGGTTGTTCACGACGTTCACGGCCTTTCCATGCTTGATCCTCTGCGTGGACAAGTCTGCTTAGTTGCCAGTTTACAATACCAGCTAAATTTGCGATCGCGCGTAAATTTACAAACGGTCTCTGCGGACTCCACGGCCGCTCGATCCTCTGCGCGGATGCTCTCGCTCGGCTGGCAATTCGCGAAATGTTTTGATTGTGCTTAAGCGCATCAATGGGCGCACGCTCTCTGCAAGCTCCACGGCGGCTCATTTTTTGTTGGCAAGGGCGCCAGTTACGACATGTCAGGAAACGTGCGCGCGTGAGTTTACATGCGCCTTCTGCGAACTCCGCTCGCCACCGATCCTCTGCCAGAGCGCGTCAACTCATCTCGCGATTCACGCAAGTTTCGAATTGTATGCGCGCACGCTAAATTGTGTGCGTTCGCATTTTTTCCTGGAACGCCTGAAACCACAAATGCGTGAAGTCATTCGTTCGCATTGAAGTGGAACGTGCTTGCGGCATGGTTGCGCTGGTGGCTTGAAGGAGGACTAGGGAGGGATGGGCGCAGGAAAAGGGACGTGATATGTAGGGAGGCGGGCTGGAGAGGAGGGGGGTGGCTGAGAGGACCGCCGCCGCCGTTGCCACCGCTGTCGCCGCCGCCGTCGTCGACGTCGACGTCGTCGTCGTGGCCGTCGTCGTCATCGTCGTCGTCCTCCTCGTTTTCGTTCTCGTCCTCGTCTGGGTCGGTTCTCTGGGCACGTTCGGTTGCTAGATGAAGACGCGCTGGGGTCGCACTCGACCACAGAAGGCCCCGACGCTTCCGGTGACTCCTGCGAGCGTGCGCCGCTGTTGGGCACTCTTCGGGCTGCGACGCCCGCGCCCACCGTGCTCGGCGAGCGGGCGGCGGCACAGGGGACCTGCTCGCTGAGCCTCTGGGGCGAACAGGGCTGCAGGGAAGGCAGCCTCCGCGTGCAGCGCCCGTGCGCCGGCGTGTTTTCCTGGCGGCAGTGGCGCGAAGATGCCCGCCTCTCGCGATCTGGTGTGAGAAATTGCTTGCTTTGTTTTTTCCTCCGAGGGTGGTGCGGGGGCGCGAGGGTGTCATTCGTGCTGCGCGCAGTGACGTGGAAGTGACCCGTGTCTCCTCGTGGTGCTCCGCTCCTCCCCGGACGTCCGACATCGTGTGCTTTTGTGATGCGGGCCCCGGTCCTCTCCACCGCATGCTGCCGGCGACTTCTTCATATCCGACAGTTTTAGGGGAACAAAAAATGACATAAACATAAAAACTCGGAGGTCCGCGTGGATTTCTCGGATCGGCGCTGGGGCCCGCCGGCGGCGCCTCCAGCGCCGCCCCTGGCGCGCTCAGCGCGCCAGGGAGGGGGGTCCAGCGCCGATCCGGGAAATCCGCGCGGACCTCCGAGTTTTTATGTTTATGCCATTTTTTGTTCCCCTGAGTTTGCTGATGGACCCGTGGCCCCGGAGTGGCGTGCAGACGCCAGACCCTGGAGAAGGAGTCGGTCGCCATGTTTTTGTTGAGGTGTGGCCTGGGGTGTTAGGGTAGCATTAGGTCGGGCATGTCCTCTACAGGGGGAGTTTAGACGAAAAGTTAAAATGATCAACAAATTCCCCAAATGGTCAAAAATAATAGAAACATCGCCCCCATTGGATATTCTTTTTAAAACTATGTTTGAATATTCCTCCTGTAGAGGGACAGGCCCGACTTAAGGGTAGCATCCGCTCAACTTCGGGCCTGCGCTGCTCTCGAAACTGGCCCCGGTTATAGAATGCCGAGGCAGGTCCAGCCGGGGCTGTACAAGAGCGTCCCAGGAAGCGTGAGAGCATATGTAACTTTTCGCCCTCGGGCGATTCTCTTCGTCGTTTCCACGTTGTTGCCTGTTTGCGTTCGGATTTCTGTTCGGTCGATTTGCCTTCGTCGTTCTCTTTGTAATTTCCCGTTCTCTTCGTCGATTCTCTTTGTCCTTTCGGGGTTTTCCGAAGCGGCGTGCTCGGACCCTTTTCTGCTCTTGCCTCGCGTGGCCAGTCCCGCACGCCGAGCTGTTTCCGGACACGAGTCCCGAGGGCAGCCGAAGCCTGAGGTGCGCGCGTAGATTTGCGTGCGCACTCTGCGAGCTCAGCGGCCACGCGCTCCTCTGCACTGCACATCGCCGAGCGCCCACACATCTGGGCATATGTGAGTTGCAGACTCTGCGAATTTTGCAACATGTGCGTGCGTGCGTAAACTTACGTGCGCTCTCTGCGAAGTCAGCGTCCTCGCGCGTTTCAGCGCTGCGCATCGCAGAGCGCGCACACATCTGGGCATATTGCAGTTGCAGAACCTGCGGATTGTCCGAAATTCTCGTGCGTGCGTAAAGTCACGTGCGTTCTCTGCAAACTCAGCGGCGTCGCGCTCCTCTGCGCTGCGCATCACAGAACGCGTGAACTCCTGGGCATACCGGAATTGCAGAGCGGGCTGAATTTGCGAAAGTCGCGTGAGCGCGTAAATTTACCAACTTTGCGAATTTCGCGAGATTTGCGACATGTTCGAAACCCGCGAAGGCTACGTTCAAATATTAAATTTGTTACCGCATCATTTTTGTACCACCGAAGGTGGGAGGGGGCCACTCAAGCAGGGCTCGTCTCGATTCCTCCGGTTCGATTCGATTCGACTTCGATGGATTCCGATTCCGCTTCGATTCGGTTTGGGATTCCGATCTGGGCTCCGATTTTTTTCAAAGGAGGCCTACTATAGACTGCCGAATTCTGCCGATTCGACTCTTCCCGATTCGGCTGCTGATTTTTTCGCCGATCCCAGTGACTCCGATCGCCGATCTAGCTCGTCGATTCGATCCTGGGCCCTCCTGCCCAAACACCGAGGCGGGACCTTCCTGGGCCGCACGAGCCCCGCGCAGTGGCAAAAAACGCGCGCGCCACATTCCGGCCCCCGCGGGAGCACGAGTCTGCAGGGGTTCGGCGCCCTGGTGGGGTACCCCGGGAGTCTGGAGAAGAGCCGTCTTCCACAGGGCTCATCTCGATTCTTCCGATTCGGTTCGATTCGATTTCGGTGGTTTCCGATTCCGATTCGATCCGGTTTGGGATTCCGATTCGGGCTCCGATATCTCAACGGAGGCCTACTAGCCTGCCGATGTCCGCCGATTCGGCTTTTCCCGGCTCGGGCGCCGATTTCCTCCGATCCGATTCATTTCGATCGCCGATCCGATTTGTCGATTCGATTCTGGGCTCTCCTGGATTGACATAAGGAGCCGCCTTCCATCGTTGCAGATGAAGTTCTAGGGCGAGTGCGCACTGCGCTGAAACGGTGCAGCCCAAGCTTGAAAAAGGAGCCGTCGCCCATCCTCGTGGCCATCGGAGGCATCAGGCTTCATGGTCGTACGCGATGCTGAAATATCGCGTATCATCTGATAGTTGATGTTCGATGCTACATGATGATTCTGCATCGCGTTTGAAATATCATGCACCTTCGAGTATCATCCCGTCCTCCTCCCCTTCCCCGTCTGGCCTGTCACACGCGTCGGTCGTATCGTCATTCCTTTCTTTTCAGGCCGTCGATTATCGCTTGAGCTTGCCTATGGCAGGTCGGCCCTTGTAGCGATCCCAGTTTGCCTGGCGGTTTTCTGCTTCACGTTACTGTGCCATTCACGCCCTAATGTGACTCAGTGATCGCGCGCTGCCCATCTATTCCCCTCCCGGAAACAAATATCATGGACCATGCGATCGGTTGGCATACCGAAGTTCTGATGTTGCGGCAAAGGACGATTAGGCGTTATGCGTACGATAAGGAGGTCTGGGAGAAAGAGGAGGAGGAGGAGGCGGAAAAGCATCAGGAGGTGTGGGGACTCAGGAGGGGTAATTAGGGAGGACGGGAGGCTGATGATGGGGACGACGAGGGGGGGAGTGATTCGTACACGGGCCAGACCTCCAGGCGACAATTTCTTCAAGTGCGGCGAGTTCGTCAATGCCTACAAGCGTCTCCGCACGAAGCCAGTGCGCTACGTCGGTGTACAGGCTCGGTGCGTGTCGCGGGCGCCCCGCCTTCCCCCGCATCCGTAGCACTTTGTTGCCGCATATTGTAACGGAGGCTGTGGGGAAAAACCACACATCGTAGGGAAATCACACACACACACACTGTGGGGAACAAGCACACAAAAAGCATACAAAACAAACACACACACAAAACACACAGTCTGCGGGAAAACACACACACACACACGTCTGTGGGGAAAAAACACTGTGGGGAAAACTACACACTGTGGGAAAAAAACACACAGCCTGTGGGGAAAAAGCACAGGCCTTGCACACCCCCCTCGGCTTGCACGCCGCCTTCGCTTCTGATTCCTGCTCCACAGCGAGAAGCAATCTCATACGTGTTGTGTTAGCTGTGCGTGCGCCTCAGCGACATGCGGTTGCTGCGGTTGCCTCAGCGGCATGTTCAAGCCGCACTCAGCGAAGGCTGGCCAACATTGGCCACGCGTTCAACATACCTCGCCTTATGTAGCTTTAGGGCATGCGCGGCTGCATTGCCCGCTCTCGAGGTGACGTGTTCACCATCGGGACACATTCCAGGTGATTGACGACGAGGGCGAGCCATTCCGAAGCGGCCGAGTTGAGGTCCGCCAACACTTGTGTTGCCCGACATCGTGATACCTCGCCCTTATTCTTCATTTTCTTGCCGTCCCAAGGTTTCCTGAGTGCCGGCGTCTTCCCCAGCAAGCGCTCATCTGGATTCGCAGTGGTCTTTGCGCGAGGCTGACGCTGTAGGGTCTGGATCAAACGCTCTAGGGCCTGGATCGATGAGAAATTTTTGGTACCCATGTCTCCGAGGCTGGCCCGCGATTTTAACGCCGACGAGCACCGGGCCTGCCACGCGGCAAGGGCAGGCGGCTTCCAAGGTGTCGCGCCTGGGACGCACGTTGCCGCTCCTGTCGTGGAGTCGTTGCGCCCGCTTTGCCACCTTGTGCCTCTTCCTGTGCATGCCCCGCTTGGCACCACGTTTCACAGTTGGTCGCGATCGGGTGCCTGCCAGAGTCTGCCTGACCAGCGTCTGGAACGCTGACGCGGCAGACAGTTTGGCTCCTGCTAGTAGCATTCGGCCAAGTAGTGCCAGCACCAAGCGTCCACTCCGCCACCACCCGTCCCAGTTGTGCGGATCACAGATTCGTCTCTGGCGCGAGTAGGACACAATTACATCGACGAAGAACCAACGGCATACGCATAATTTTCGACGGTTCGCGCGGATGTCGTGGATCTGCGCTGGCCCCCAGGGGGTCCAGCGCAGATCCAAGAAGTCCGCCCAGACCGTCGAAAGTTATGTTAATGCCGCTTTTGCTTCCTCCATTACGGTCGGACCCAGGTATAAGATCGAGGTCGGTTCGGGGATGGTACACTGATATTCTTCGTGCTTGCTGGATGCTCTTGTGCATCCTGGGGGAGGGCACCCTCGAATGTCCTTCAGCTTGGGCCAGCGGAGGGCCTCATGTTCTTGCAGGATGTTGTCTTGTACAGCCGAGTGGATTTGGTGGGTCCGGCCGTGTCGGTTCTTCGGCCGCATGGCCTTTCTGTGGGCCAGGCCACGGAGAGCTGCGGCTGCTCCTGCTCTTTCGCCCTCGCCCTGGCCGCCCTCCTTCAGGAGCTTGTGTCTTGGCTAGCAGGGGGAATGTCGACCCCGATCCCAGGATTCTGAACCACCCTATCAACAGGGTCGACTAG